CCACCCGCCCACCAAAAATCGAGTAAATAATTCAAGAAAGAAAAAAGACATGTCTAATAGGCCACACTCCTCCATGAGACTAAAATAAATTCCTAAAATTACTTTCAGGTAGAAAAAAGTCCAAAACTATTTGTATAAGACACAATTGAAAATCTTAAAACGCCACTGATCAAATTATACCAATAGCTACTGGCAGTTCAAAGCAACAATATTCCCTCAGTTCTCACTGATATCAACCTAATAAATTTTTTTTTTTTTTTAAATACCTGATTCAGAATTTCTGGCCCTTTTGCAGCCGCAGGTAATTCTTGAAACTTCCGCTTCTGGGAACGCTTATCTCTTGAATGAGAGGGCACTTTCATTTGTGGATCTTTGCTTACCGCAATGGTAGTTGGAGCAACTGTAGCAGTTACTGGAGAAGCCGACTGCCTAAGGGCTAACGCAACTTGTTGCAAAGGTGTGGCCTGAGGATATATTCCACCATAACCATTATAGCTTGTTACACTCGTCAACCCTTGAGGATAGTAAGCAGCTTTTTCCTGACGCAGTATCGGGTTTGACATTCCAAGAGATTGAGATAGCTGGGCCCGAGAGGGAATGCTATTCACACCACCCAAAGAAGTTGAATTTATAGCAGCTACATCATTCGCTTTTGGTGCATTGGCTGGTATCTGGATCCCAGCTTGCAATTGAGGCGGAGGTGGAACAGCACCATACACTTTACACGATGATATCCTACGACATATAGACCACGACAAAAGAATAAACTTTATCACCATCAACATCAACATACCCAGTATATTCCCAACAGGTTGGTTTTGGGGGGTCAGTTGTACGCAGACCTTACCCTTGTAATTATACAAGGAGGTTGTTTCCATAGCGACCCAAGGTGCGTTGCGTCGTTTGATATATTTTTTTCTAGAAACTTCACTAATAGAAGCACTAGAATTTAATTGAGCCATTTTGATCTAGTCCATTATTAGCACTATGCCAAAAGAATAAACTTTATATCCTCCATAAATAGGTGAATATTCAAGTTTAAGATAGAAATACATGCACTACATGATATATATTTCTATTATCTTATAACAATTAAAGAGTACCAAATCACTCTCTCCTTTTTCAGTTGTATGCAAAGATTCTGAAATTATAGAATAGATCAAAATGGAGTCAAACAATTGGGGTACTCGAGCACAAAATTGTGAAAACTAAACAAAGTCTTATTTAGACAAAGCAGGGCACTTGGCATCTACCATAAATGCACTAATATTCTTGAAATATATGACCCTGAAGAGACTCTAGATAGTATACAAAAGCATGCATAGATGATTGCGGAAATCCACAGTTTATCTTTTCTAAGCATCAACGATATCTAGTACCTTGATGCACCACACTCGCCACAAATTGTGTCCAAAAGGTTTTCTGCCAATAGCTTTGCATGCTCAAGGCTCTTTGCATTGTTGCTTGATAACAACAGGTGCAGTGGTTGTGTTTCTACAGACACGATAAAGCAGAAGAAAAGGATTATCAATTGGTCAGAACATTCTTGCAAAAAAATAAAAATAAATAAATAAATAAATAAAATTGGTCAGATCATAAAAGAGGAGCAAATGCTAATTTAATACACCAGTTACAACCTTCAGTCTGCCCATTCTCTGGAAACCCAGAACCTCGTCCCCTTATCAAGACAGTTGCTCCTGTTTCATTCATAATGTGGTTTACATACTGGTCCTGCATTACAAAAGCCAACCAGCAACAACAAAAAAGAATCTCTCCAGATTGTGTGGAGATTTCAGCTTCAAACATTAGAATCTCTTATCTTCGACATGAGAAGACAAACATAAGTCATGGACCAAAACCAAACAAGTATGAAAATGTTAGGCAAATAGATTCACAAAGATAGCAATATGTGGTGTGACATATGATTAATTAATTTCCGTCTTTGAGTATCCTTTGGTTCTCTCACTACTATAGCAGGGGTGTTTTTAAGTGATGATGAATGGGGACAACAAACCTAGGTATTGGATGTCATTTATTTTTAAAGGAGCAAGCAAGGGGAGACTATTAATAAAAGGAGTGATAGAGATTGCAATGGTTTTTAGTAATTAAAATAGTAGAGGTCAATGTTAAAAGAATCTCTATGTCCCCATCCTCCATTATATGAGTAAATTACAACCAATACCACCACAAAGAGAGAGACAGAGAGTCAGAGAGAGAGAGAGGGAGAGTGGAAAAAGATAAGAAAGAAGTAACAGTTGGAACAATGAGAAACATGAAAGAGGAGACAAATGGAAAAAAAAAAATTAATAAAATAAAAAATAAAGGATACAGAAAAGCTCACATTTGGGCCACGGATGCGAGAGATGATGTCCAATGATGGATCTGGCTGAAATCCCAAGAAGACACAGGTACTCAACGAGTGATCCACCTGGGGCACAGAATTTGCTAAGTTTTTCAATGAATCCTAATTATGCACATTCCAGTTTCTCCCAGGAGTTTAAATACCTTAACTCCACTGCTGACAGTTGCAGTTTTCAACATTTCCTCAACCATAGCAGCTGCACGATCAACTGCTTTGATTCGTTCTGCAGTTGTTTCCAACTGAAGCCACAACATCAAAGTGCGTATAGTAATGATATCATAAGGACCACAGAAATGATGTTGAAACACAGAAAAATTGAATGGCTCAAATCAGGAGTAACCATATGTAAACCAGCTTTTCAACAAAAAATATCTAAGGCGATTCACGTTGTGAAAAGAATTCACAAAACAGGCTCCTAAACACCAGTGGTGAAACATTTCACAGAATCAAATCCATCTGGCAGAGTAAAGTACTCCAATCTAATATCAAACTACTGGCGTTTGGTATATTGCCCTTCAGTAAGTAGTTTTATAAGGTAAATTTACAAGGATTCATGCAGGCATAGATACTTAAGGTTTTATCATTCATCTTCGTAACTTGCACACCATGCAGAAAATTTAAAATTACTTACATGTGCAGCTGCAGAGATATGAAGATATAGAGGTCTCTCAGCATCAGGTGGGGCATTTGGAGGCCGGTATTTCCCTCTGTGAGTTCAATTCAGAAGTGAACCATACAGGATAGGAGAAGTAGTAAAAGAAAAGAAAAAGCGAAGAAAATCATCAATGGGGAACTCATATACCGGGTTATTACCAAAGCACTAGTGCTCTTCTGTATCTGCAAAGTGTCCAATAATTTGTCAACTAAATAAAATAAAATAAAATAAAAATGCACATAGCTATTGTTCACTTTTTAAGAGGATTTCAAAACAGAAATTCTAAAATTTACCTCTTCCTGGGTTTGACGCTTTGTGAGCTTATAACGGATAGCAGAATCAGCATCATTTATGACAATTTCTCGTGCTATCAACTCATCTTGGATCTTCGGCTACAAGTTAAGTATTTAGAAGTTAAACGAGAAAAAACTCAAGAGAATAAATGTCGGACAAAGCCTAAAAAGCATGAACGGACCTGAAAACCTATTTGCATATTAGGTTACATTAGTGATAATGTTAAGGAAAATACTCAATTGAAAAGATATTTTAAAAAATGAGGTCATAATGCGGGTCTTAATAGATAACACTAACTTGGGTCCTGCCCCTCAATTAGGATATAAGCCCAATAACAAGCCATGAATCATGATGCCAGTGTTGCACTTCCATAATGCAATAATGTGTCATCCAATTGGGGCTCACAGCGTAACATCAAATTTATTTAAAAAGAAAAAATCCAATGAGAAAATAGTGGCTATTTGGATATAAAAAAAATTTGCAGCAGGAAATCTTAACCATGTCTGTAAAAGTGAAGTGTAAAAGCAATGTGCCAAATAAGGAGAGCAAAATAAGAAACACATACTTGAATTAGCTTTTGGACAATTGCAGCAGCATGTTGCGGTAAAGGCACCTGAAACGCTTGAAGGGAGGTAGCACTGGTGTCGGATAACGGGATTGCAAGAGAAGCACCTATTGCAGAGGGACCAACAGGCAAAGTTACTCTGGCCAAGGATCCCACACTTGCCAGTGGAAAGACCCCTGGAACAGCTACACCAGCAGAAACCACAGCTTCATCCGGCTGATCCCACTTCCTCTTTTTTCTACTAAAATTTCCAAAATCGTCAAAACATCAGTCATTCTTATTTCGATAATATATCATTCGGAGATTCATATCAATGTATATCATTGGGATGTAAAGGGATGCAAATCAATGGTGAAATCATAACCTAGAGGAGGATGAACCAAGGACCAAGCCCAGGCTACCACACTACATAAAACGGACATTTCTAACCTTCTGCTTTAGATCTCAGATCAATAAGCAACTTTGTCCACTGGTAAATTAGAATCTCAATTTGATCAATTGATGTAAAAAGCAAGAACTTCCATGTTTCACAGAAATATGTTCATCAAACAGCAAAGTTATCAATTCTTCTTCCCACTCACCATTCAATCCAATACACCATATGAAGTTTTCAGCTCGATTTTGAGAGATTAAAACACAAAAATGGGCGAATATTTCTGAAAAAAAAAAAAAGACGTACGAAATGAAGCAACACAGAGCGTCGCACCTTTGCTTGGCCGTTGATGGATCGGATTCCGATGATGAAACCCTATTGCAACAATCTTCAGTCATCGATAATCGCCCCTTAATCTCAAACTGTTCTTGATATATTCGATTCTCAACCTCTGCGTGTTGTCCACAAAGCAATTCGATAATTCACGACCGGCTTGGTTTATGGAAGGGAAGCAACATGGCACTTTCACGTGATGAATCATATTATATATTTTTTTGCGCTTTTCATGGGCCTTATTCTGGGTTGTTTAGTTAATTTTTTGTACCCGGCGGAAGCCCACAAAAATTGGGCCTCCTATTTACATTCTATATTGAAATAATTTCTCCTTTTTTTTTTTTTT